TCTCTAGTTGCAAGCTCCGCTGCACAATTGTTTGCGCCTTCTCCGTCCAGCCAGTTCGAATAGCTCAGGGTCAGGGTCCAAGTCCCACCAACAATCTCTGCTCCCCCCGACCAATTCCGCGTCCACAGCTCCTCTCTGGCTTGAGGTCTTCTGCGGCCCTCGGTGTTCCAAGCACCCGAGACTCGCCACCAGCTCCGTCGTCGAGGATGGCGTGCTCTTACTATCCCGCCGTCTGGCTGGTCAGGGGGACTCCAAGGGGGGGAGAAACCCTCCCCACCGTCTGACTGTTCAGGGGGACTCGAGGGGGGAGAAACCCTCCCGTGGCTCACCCACCCGCCGCCTGTGAGACCACCGCCGCCTCCAGACACTCAGAAGCTCCTCAAGGACCACCATCCCAAGATGGCCACCGTGCTGCCCACTCCCGAATCGTTGGGCTGCTGATCAGTCCACCAGCGCCGGCAAGAACTTTACGCCAGGCCGGGGCAGTAAGTAACAGGACTCTCACCGTACAGGCCAGGTAGCGCATCTTCTCCGGTCCGGGTTGTGCCAACGGAAACCGTTCAGTAAGGGACGCTTACACGCCCCATACCTAGTGTCAATCCCTGAATCAGACTGGAGCATCTTTTCAGGCTAGGGTGCCCATTTTTCGTTGTGTTCCAGGTCACTTGTAGTTCGTTCTTAATTCCAAGAAGCAGGAGGGTCCTCCTGCCTCGCCGCCATCAAGACTCCCACCATCAATAATTATTATTATTCCTAGTCCTCTACCTACTCTGCACTTTTTCACATTTATGCCACTGTGCCAAGCACACAGGAGCACAGATTGTATCTGATTATGTCCTCAGTTCTCTGTTCTGTAGCCAGTCTATGAGTTTCTGCAGTGTTCTGGGACAGACTCTTGCAACCATGTGCCTCTTCAAAGAAAACAGAACTCAGAGCTGGGGCAGATGGGAGGCACTTAAGTGGATGAAAGAAAAGTCCACTGGTATCTTAAAGATTGTCACTGCTATGATTCACAAAAACTTGTACTGAAACAAATGTTGTCATCATGGAAGGCACCGCATTTAGCCATATGAGACAGAACATAAGGGAATGGATATAGCAGAGATGGAGCTCTCAACTGTCATACATTGAAGGGGAAGACTGTCAGGATTGGACCTTAGCCTGTCTATTGATCATGTATTTGCAACTGTGGCTCTCTGATGTACATAGCTTCGCATTGTTATTGTTTACCCCGCCTGAGCTCTTTGCTTCTGATTCCCAAGCTTCATCTCCGTACCTGCAGGTGCTGTCTATGCGGTCCTCCCCTGACATTCCTGAAGGGGGGGGATTAAGACACGTATGTGTGAACTGTAGATTAGCTGCGCTGGAACCACTGTGAAAGGAAGCCTCCTCCACAGAGGCAACTTCACCATTTCTAATTCTCATGACCTTGGGGGAAAGACATGAAATGATAACATTCACACCCTCCTGTTTGTACTGTATTAACCTGTCTATGCACTATGTAATCCTGACGTATGAATGAGGGTTGGATCGAAGATTTTGTGATTCCCAACTTTGTAATATTAATCAGTTCTGCCAAAGAGTTTGACTTTACAGCAACTTTCCTGATTTCTCAATAAAGCCTGTTAAAGGAATTATTGCATCTGAGAGTTCCTGAAAAAGCTGACAGATTGGCAGAACTGCCTTTATTCCCTTCGACCCGAGGAACCCCCCCCCCCCGACTTGTGGGATGAGGAATGGAAACGAAGGTGCCGAGGGAGGCTCGGACTTTGATGGGAATGTGTCAGCTGAGACGGAGAAGAAACCCCGCAAGCCGCCTGGCGCGAAGCCAAAGAGGCAAGTGGGGTTCCAGCCATTTGATCGCTGGGAGGAACCTCCCTGGCTGGGAAGCACCCCGGGACTCCGGGGTGCCCGGGCACGATTTGAGCGGGAGCGACGATGCCATTCTCGCACCTTCCAAGAGGAGCCTGAGCTGGGCCATCTATGGGAGGAATGGGAGGAAGAATTCCCCACTGACCGAGGCCAGGCCAGCATCCATTCGGAGATGCGTGAGCTGAAGGAAGGCTTACAATTCCTGATCACCAACCTGCCTAAGGTGGTCAAGGAGCTGATGGTGAACCCCCCTGTATCCACCTTGGAAGAGGAAGAAGTGGGGGAGGAGGAGGATGAGTCTATGGATGTGCCAGCACGACCCCGTCCTCGACAGCTTTAATGACCCCAGGATGCACTGGAAGCTACATTCAATGGGGACCCCGCTAAATTGGCTTTCTTTGCGATCCAGGTTCGTAAAATGCTGAGAGAGTGGGGCCACGCTTTCAACTCAGATGAGATATGAGTGGATTTTGTGGGCTCTCACTTGAGGGAGAGGGCGGCCGATTGGTTTGTGGGACTCTACAGCGTGGCCGCTCCGGAGTTGCACGATGTGGATGCATTTATGCAGTCCCTCCGGCACCAGTTCGAAGATCCGCTCGAATTGGAGAAGGCAAGAACCAGGCTGCAAGGCATTCGACAAGGTTCTTGGTCGGTACAGGAGTATTCCAATGAGTTCAAAGCTACTGCAGCCAAGTTGCAAGAGTGGCCCGAAGACCTGATCGAGTTTTACTGAGCTGGGCTTAACACATTCCTGTTGGAGAAGGCATTGGCACAAGCGAACCCCATCACCCTTGGTGGATGGATTCAAGTAGCCTGCAAAGCGGAAAATCGCCACAACCTGGTGAAGCTGTATCATCAACGCGGCCATAGTAGAGGAGCGTCTACCAGTCAGGGTTCCTCTGCAGGCCGAGGAGGCCGGGGACGTAGTTACCCGAACCCTGATGACCGCAAGCAATGGTTCAAGAGGGGACTTTGCCTGAGCTGTGGTCGGCTGGGACATTTCCCAGCCGAGTATCCCTGGTCCCGCAAATTGGAGATGGATCGGTGGATGAGAGGTGCGGCGCTGGATTTTCAACTGGAGAGGCGTGAGCCACCCCCGAGAAGCAAGAAAGGCAAAGCCCTGGTTAAGAGATCGCCGACACCTAGGGCCCTGCAAGTGTCGGCGTTCCTGCTGTCCAGCAGTCCGACTTCGAGTGAAGGAGACGAGCCCCAGATGGCGGGAAATGACCGGGACCTGTTCTGAAGGGCGCCCCCCAACAGGTCCATGAGGCTCCGGCGCAAAAAGTGGTGAGAGATGGCACCTCTTTGTTTTTCATTACCGTGACCATTCTCAATCCAGACGGTGGAACTCAACTAAGAGTAAGGGCTTTATTGGATTCGGGATGCTCCCGAGATCTTATTAGTCCATCCCTAGTTACGGGGTTGGGAGCGGGGGTTGTAAAGTTAAAAGATCCTGTGGTCTTCACCCAGATGGGTGGGACCATGATGACTTCATGCCAGCAACAAACGGTGGAGTTGCCGGTGGGGGTGTTGGGGCACTGGGAACTATGTGCGTTTGTCATTCACCCCACGGCGCAATTCCCAATGGTGCTAGGGAGTCCCTGGCTGGCTACCCATGACCCATATGTACAGTGGAGCCAGGGCGTTATGACTTTCCTAGACCCTTGTTGCAAAGACCATCAGTGGAACCCGGAGTGGGGCACGGAGCCGCTCGCAGTTCCTTCCCGGGTGTGTTTGGCTAGTGAAGAATTACGGTCCATCCCAGAGGAGTACTGGGACTTGAGAAAGGCGTTCAAAGAGCGGGAAGCTGATGAACTTCCCCCTCATAGGAAAACGGAATGTGCTATTGAAATCCTGGAGGGACAGACTTCGCCTAAGGGAAACATTTATGCCATGAATCCTGTAGAACTCATTGACAAAAACTTGGGGAGAGGCTTTATTCGCCCTGCCACGTCCCCATTTGCTGTCCCTGTACTATTTCGGAAAAAGACAGTGGACTGAGACTACAGGAGTGTGAACACTGTTTCTATGTTGAACAATGTCAGAGATACGGAAGCATGTACACATCACTCAATAAATTAAAAATGACTGGGGGTAACATATTTTTAAATTTTCCTGTTATGAGATAAAAGATTCTCCTTCATCTGTTAAAGGTCAAAGAGGCAGAAGAAGGCAAAAAACATGTAACACTGAGTATGTAGCAATAATGAAATTATAGCTGCAAAACAGACTAGTTATGAAAATCTGAAATGTAAAATGATAACTATTTAGATCACTTATTGCTCTTATGACTACAGTCTCCAGCAGTTCAACAACAAAGCAGCAATAATAATGATGATGATAACAATAAATAATAGCAACAATAATAGTACTGATAATAGTAATAAGAATAAAGACAGCAAATACACCAATAGCAGCTAAAACATCAAATTATCCAGTAACTATCTGTTAAGATTAGATGACATAAGAGAACAACTTAGCAATGGCCAGGGTAATATCTTGATCACTTCTCAGGCAATCCCTTTTTTCTTTCTGTATTTTCTTTACATTATTTTTCTGTTCTTTCAAAAATGTATATATAGCTGAAAGAAGCTATGGTAAGGGGAAGGATATGGATACACACTGAAGGATCTTCAAATCCTTGCTTAATTAGCAGCCAGTTAATGGAGGATCTACTAAGCAAAGCAACATCACACAAGTTATACTGAGGCAAGCATGTACAGGATTCTATCAATGCTAATTTTCTGCCCCCAAGCATCTCCTCCCGCTCTCATCAAGCTGATTACAATACGCATGGTACCTCTGCATCCATTACAAGCATTCTTTCCACCCCCATCCCTGCCACCTTCTGATTAGGATCAAAGGACTCAGGTGGTCTCCGCTTCTGCTCTACTCGACGGGTCTGGCAGTCCTTACACTCTTGGGCAGTCTCCAAGGAGCTCCTGGACTCAGATCTAAACGTTCCACTCCAGACCAACCCGGATAGCCTCTGAAACTATCTTCAAGAATGCAATTTCATTCTGCTAATAATTCATCTTACAAGTTTATAAATAGCACTATAGTAACCAAAACACGGGATGCTGAATAAGCCCAACGGCACTAGACACAATACTGATATTACAGCTTACCAGTTATGTTATTGAGAATATCTTTCAGGACACTGAAGCTGTGCAACAAGGGATCACGTTCTTCATCCTAAACACAAGAAAAGCCAAGATTGGGTCCTTAGATCAGAGAAGAACACACTTTCATCGTCTTTCAATTAGCACCTCAGTGGGGCCTTTAAAAGTATTTCACTCATTCTAAAACAGAAAACATTTAACAGGAGGGGTTTTTTTTCCCAGTACTCCCCCAATGTTTTTCCATCTGAAAAACTGGGGGGGGGGGGGGAAACCCACCCGGGGGGAGGGGGAGATGACAGGTTTTTCCTGAATTTTTCCTGGGCCCCCCCCCCCCCGGTCTTCACATCTTTACCCTGAGGTCTATGGAGGAAGGGCAAGGGACAAACATTGAAACAGACTAAGCATTTTCCTCTCCCATCTCTCTTGCTGCAGCAGAAAAAGAAAGCACAGCAGCTATTGAGCATCAGAGGGCCAGGTCAGCAGGGCTTCCTCGACTCTTATCTTCCCCAGGACACTTATTCTCTGCAAGCAAACAATCTACTTTCTCAAAATCTTCACTAGTATTCATGTGGCTCGTGATTTATTTCTAACAATAATTTTGCTAGGGAAAAATTTTCACACTCAAGATGAACAGTATCTCCACAGATTGTGCAACTGTCTAATTATTTCACCTAAATATAATGCAGACTTGTACCTGTACTTCCATAGGACAGATAACCGTTGCTTAAGCATTAAACTCCGCCTACACAGCTGGGCTTTGCATACCCCAGCTCAATCCTACCCGGTAACTGGGCATGCAGCTGGCTTCTTCCCTACCTAGCCTCCTCAAGACTGCTGCCGTTCCTCAGCTGGCAGAAGCAACACATACTGCGCAAGCATTGAGCGCGGTACGCTAAGTGCCTATGAGGCTCAGATCTTCCCACCTTCATAGCCTTTTAACCCCAGGGGAGGGAGGGAGGAAAGTCCCAGTGACACTCAAGGCCATGGCAGCAGGAGAAAGGAGGGTCAGAACAATGGAAACTAGCTGCCTCTTAAGAGAGTGTAAGAACATAAGAGAAGCCAGTGTTGGGTCAGGCCAGTGGCCCATCCAGTCCAACACTCTGGGTCACACAGCGGCCAGAAATACCAGGTGCCACCAGTAGGTCCAGGACACTTTTGGCCTCCCCCAAGCACCAAGAATACAGAGCATCCCTTGCCCCAGACTGAGAGTTCCTATCTATGTCTTGTGGCTAATAGCCACTGATGGACCTCTGCTCCATATGCTTATCCAATTCCCTCTTGGAGCCGTCCATGCTTGTAGTCGCCACCACCTGCTGTGACAGGGAACTCCATGTGTTCATCACTCTTTGGGTGAAGAAGGACTTCCTTTTATCTATGCTAACCTGACTGCTCAGCAGTTTCACTGAGTGCCCACGAGTTCTTGTATTGTGAAAAAGGGAGGAAAGTACTTCTTTCTCGACCTGCTCTACCCCATGCATAATCTTACAAACCTCAATCATGTCACCCCTGAGCCATCGTTTCTCCAAGCTAAAGAGCCCTAAGTGCCTTAACCTTTCTTCATACGGAAAGTGTTCCAACCCTTTTATCCTTCTAGTTGCCCTTTTCTGCACTTTTTCCAATGCTGTAATGTCCTTTTTGAGGTGCGGTGACCAGAATTGCACACAGTATTCCAAATGAGGTTGCACTATCGATTTATACAGGGGCATTATGATACTGGCTGATTTGTTCTAAGATCCCTTTCTGCAGTATTTATTTATTTATTTATTTAATCCTGTGTCGAGGCTAGTTGGATGGCCCTGGGGCCAGGAACCACTAGCAGATTTTGATTTGTGGACCTCAGTGCCCTCCGGGGCTCATACAGGGAGAGGCGGTCTCGTAGGTATGCTGGGCCCTGGCCATAGAGGGCTTTAAAAGTAAGCACCAGCACCTTGAAACGGATCCGGAATTCAGTAGGCAGCCAGTGCAGTTCACGCAGGACCGGGTGGAAACGAGCCCGCATAGGCGTCGCCATCAACACTCTCGCTGCTGCATTCTGTAACGCTCTCTTAGGGCTGCCTCTGTTGCAAATCCGGAAGCTGCAGCTAGTGCAGAATGCTGCGGCCAGGTTGTTGTTAGGCCTCTCTAGGCGAGGCCATATTCAGCCTGGGCTGCAAGCGCTGCACTGGCTGCCGATAGCATACCGGATTCGCTTCAAAGTGCTGGTCCTTACCTTTAAAGCCCTGAATGGCCAGGGTCCGGCTTACCTGAAGGACCGTCTCTTCCCGTATGTTCCCTCAAGAGCACTACGATTGGGGAACTTCCATCTCCTGGTAGTTCCAGGTCTCTGAGAGATTAAGTTTGCCCTTACTAGGGCCAGGGCATTTTCGGTGTCGGCTCCTACCTGGTGGAATGAGCTCCCAGAGGAGATCCGGGCCCTGCGGGACCTTATGCAGTTCCGCAGGGCCTGCAAGACGGAGCTCTTCCGCCAGGCGTTCGAGTAGGAGCCGCCGCCGCCGCCACCACCACTATTCTACCACCGATGTGGCAAGTCAGCGGCTGCCCTATAATTAAAGGGGGGCTGGCATGCCCAGGCAGACGTTTTGGACAGCGTAGCGGGAGACCGCGCCACTGAGACAGCTAGCCACCAAATTTGGGTGGTTGTTCCCATCTTGGATGATTAGGTATAGCACCACATTAGAGGAAGGTTTTATTGTGATTTTAAACATTGTATTCTACTATATGTTTTATTGTATTTTACACTCGGCTTTGCTGCATGTGAGCCACCCTGAGCCTTTGGGAGGGCGGGATATAAATCAAACTAATAAATAAATAAATGAATTCTGCACTAGCTGCAACTTCCAGAGTAGAGTCATGGGCAGCCCCACAATAATCCAATCTGGAAGTGACCATTGCATGGGTCACTGTAGCTAAGTCTTGGGGAGTGAGATACGGGGCTAACTGTCTGATCTGCCTCAAATAGAAAAAGAAAGACCTGGCAGTGGGGGTGACCTGGGCCTCCATAGAAAGGGTCTAGGAACACCCCCAGACTCTTCACCCTCGACGTAGGCACCAATGGAGCCCCATCGAAGGTTGGGAGCCTGATCCCCTGACTCAACCCTCTGCGACTCAGGTAGAGGACCTCCGTCTCAGAAGGACTTGACTTCAGTCGGATCTGTCGTAACCATCCAGCCACGGCCTGTAATGCCTCATCTAGATGTCTGGGGCAGTGTCCGGGCGGCCATCCAGCAGTAAATAGAGCTGGGTGTCATCCGCATACTGGTGACAACCCAGCCCATATCTCCGGATAATTTGGGCGAGGGGGTGCATGTAGATATTGAACAGCATGGGGGAGAGGACCGCACCCTCAGGGAAACCACATTCTAGTGGGTGCCGCTGGGATAACTCAAGTGCCACCCTCTGTCCTCGACCTTGGAGAAAGGAGACTAGCCATTGCAAGGCAAGTCCTTCTATCCCAGGTTAACACCTCACAGTCAACTAAGTTGAACGCTGCTGATAGATCGAGCAGAATCAGCAGCGCCGAACCGCCTTGGTCCAAATGTCTCCAGAGGTCATCCAACAGGGCGACCATCACCATCTCCTTCTCATGAGCAGGGCAGAAGCCGGGCTGGAAGGGATCCAGGACCTTAGCTCCATCCAAGTTGTGTTGCCACTGCCCTCTACCACCTTACACAGGATTTGAAGAAAGTTTTGTTGGTCTTTATGTTTTCTGCCCCCCTCATGGATCACTGCCTTGTCGTGGCGAGGGGGCTTGCATAGTTCAATGAAGCTGTGGGCTATGCCATGAAGGGCCACCCAAGACAGACAGGCCACAGCAGAGAACTCAGACCAAGCGTGATCCCCCTGGAGAAGGAAATGGCAACCCACTCCAGTACTTTTGCCAAGAAAACCCCATGGACAGTATCAAAAGGCTAAAAGATATGACGCCGGAAGATGAGCCCCTCAGGTCGGAAGGTGTCCAATATGCTACTGAGGAAGAGCAGAGGGCAAGTACAAGTAACCCCAGAAAGAGTGAAGCGGCTGGGCCAAAGCCGAAAGGACGCTCAGTTGTGGATGTGTCTGATGGTGAAAGGAAAGACCGATGCTGCAAAGAACAATATTGCATAGGAACCTGGAATGTAAGATCTATGAATCAAGGTAAGCTTGACGTGGTCAAAAATGAGATGGCAAGACTGAACATCGATATCTTAGGAATCAGTGAACTTAAGTGGACAGGAATGGGCGAATTTAACTCAGAAGACCATTATATCTACTACTGTGGCCAGGAATCTCGTAGAAAAAATTGTGTGGCCTTTATAGTCAACAAGAGTGCAAAAGTCAGTACTGGGATACAATCTCAAAAATGACAGAATGATTTCTGTCCGATTGCTTAACATGGGAGTCCTATGAGGTGATTCATGTAATCATTTCAATACATTACAGCAACAAAATACCAATCTAAAGCTGGCCACAGAAACATATTGGACAGTAAGGGGGAAGGATAAAAGAGGTGAAGAGACAGCAGAGAATGGCCAGAGAAGCCATGACATTATCAGCCCTACAGAGCAAAAACAGGTCAGAGAAGTTCTGCTTTCCATCAGCAGCAGAGCTGTCCAGCTGAGCCGCCTGCTTGGGCAGTCCTCACATGCAACTGGGTCTGGCCAACCTAACGTCACATGACTGTGAAGGGTGGTTAACTTAGGATGCATAGCTGTCTTCAATAAAATTTTGTTACATTTAAAGGATCCTTTCCTGGGACTCGCCATCTGTTCACTTCTGGATACAAAGTTCACAGGCCCAGAGCCCTGCCTTAGGGTAACTCGAGGATCTGATCAACCCTGAAGAACAAGGTCAAGGGGCCACAGATAAAGTTTTGTACATGAAAGTATGCATAGGATTGTACCTTGGAAGCAGTTACTTCTTTACATAATGATTAATCATCACATTGTGTACTTCATCCTCACATACCTTAACTGTGGCCATTTCAATCTCCCTCCCCATAGTTTGTATTTAATCTCCCTATCTCTGATCCAAGCCCGTAGTTACCACGGGGCCCAGCCCCCACAGTTTTTACGGGCCCCTCTCCATTCCTCGGCT